CAGCCAAAGGCACCTGAGCTGATTCTGGCTTTGTTCCCTGAAGGCAAGCAGGGGCCTGTGCCTGCACAACCCCGTTGTTCTGAGCTGTTGCCAGACTAAGAGAGGGAGGGGGAAGAAAAAAAAAGTGTTTGTGTTATGATTTCACGCTCAGGGGTAAGCTGCTTTTAGATGCACACATCATGATGCTCATGTGACATGTCCCGCTGCGGGAAAATATCCAGGCTTTGTTCACTCTGGGATACATTGGAAGGCAGGTAAGATTCACCTGGACACGACAAAAACTATGCTGGTCAGTGAGTGTAGTTAGGAAAGTTTTCCACTGTTGGCTTGCGACAGCAGCATTCTTGTCACAGTGTGTGACTTTTCTCAAGCTGTGCTAGAAAAGAGCCTTTCACTGCAGTAAAAAGAACCCGCTTTAGTGCTGCTTATGAATAAGAGCAATATGTTACACAATAAAATACAAGGTGTCGCATATATAGAACATATCTGCATTGCTTATAGATAAATATAAAACTATATACATATTGTTTATGACTCCACTACAGTCATATCCATAGTTTAAATAGTCTGTTTTACTGTATTGCAGGAGCCCGGTAACTGTGTATCCTACTCTACATTGATTATTTGTCCAAGAGTTTATTAAGTGTTCATAATAGCAGCAGTTTGTGTAACCACCTGCTTTGCCGACTTTTGACAATGACGTACACAAAAATACCACTGCTACCCTAGCTGTTAGTTTGTGTTAAACTTAAGTATACTTTCCTCACAAATACATCATGCAATGATTTATTTTTCTTCTTTTCTTAGCAAAGAGATCAATCACATATGAATTTCCCATTTCCATGTACATTTACTTACATATCAGCAGCTGACCACAAATCATTGATAGGTTCATCTTTGATAAGGAGAGCTCTTAAACAAGCAGCACAAGATTTAAGCTGAGGATTTCCTGGGATTTACCCAGAGTTTTCCTACTTGTACACAGACTCAATTCACGGGGAGAAACATCACATGGTCAGCATGTGTCGGCCATCCAGACTGGATAAGCGTGGCGCACTCGGGTGTTAGAGGCCAGCTTTACACACACTGGTACTGCTCTAAGTAATACCAGCTCCCGGCTCTGCTAAGCTTGACAATGTCTTCATTGTGATAAGCAAACCCCCTTAATAGGCATTTACCAAAATCATTTTACAGCGAGATGCAGCTGCTTAATAATCTGTGACTGTGCAGTGGGATGTTTCTGGTTGCAAACCTCAATGATAAACCACCGCCATAATCAGCCCTTGACCAAAAAAAGACAAAAAAACTCACCGGTTAGTTGGCGTCGAAGGAAATCTGCAATTTAACCTTTTTCTTTTTTTGGGGAGTGTTGTTCTATCTCTTTTTTGCTCCGTCAGGTCTTGCAGTTATTGTTTACGGACTTGTTTCACACGCATAGTTCTCATTTGCTTGGATAAGGGCAGTCCTTACATCTGCTCGTTGATCCTCTCACATGTCCTTCCCGGCAACTTGTGAACGGACTTCCTAGGCCAGTGACACGCTCCCTGTCAATCTATGGGGGGAGCCCTTGCTGGGTCTGGAGTCATAATCCAAATTCCTGTGTTTATAAATCTGGGGGGTAGGGCTTCGTTGGTATTAAACCTGATTGGTTACTAGGCTATTGGGGATATGCCAGTGGAAGGGGTGGTATGTTGCAGCACTGCCCTCCCAGTGATTAGCTGTGCACAGTAGGTACACTTATTTTCCATTAACAGTCTAATTACTGCCTACTTGGGAAAAGGGGGTTAATGGAGCAATCATTTTGGATACTTTAAAACGTTTATGTATTTATCTTGTCTTTGTGATTGGGGTAGGAGGTTCAGCATACCTATTTTTCTCTTTCTGGGCTTCAGCTAAGAAGAAGTGTATATAAGTGTGTGTATGTATATGTATATGTATATATGTGTATATATATAGATATATATATATAGATATAGATATATA